ATGCCAAACTAATCTTATTGATCTTTTTGATTGGGTAACCAAAATTATAGATCAGGGTGGTGCAGTAGACATTTCTTGCCTAGATTTCAGTAAGGCCTTTGACACTGTTGCACATAGAAGGCTTCTAAATAGGGGGGGGCGGAGCCAGCGCCTAAACAAGCAAGTCGCAACTCACCACAGCTCCGAGTGTGAGACCCAGAAAAGGGATATCCAAGCGACAAAAACCGCCTCGGGGACCCGACAAACAGATCCCCAAGACACTCCACACTATGGGGAAGAAAACGAAGAAGTGCAGAGCAGATCCTGGCTCGGGATCCAAAGATATAGGCACTTTTATGCGCCCTACGCAGCTGCACGTACCTGGCAAGATGGTGCCGATAGAGGCCTTCGACACACAGTCATCCGACGATGACAGCGCACTCGATTCCTTCCACGTTCCCAGCAAGGTGCATATTGCACCCCAGCAGCCTAAAGAATTGGACGACGCAGCACCCGCCACGAAGGCCGACATCAAGGCACTGATGGTAAACATCAAAGCGATGTTTGATGCCGACATGGCACTTGTCCGAGGGGAGGTCTCCACACTTGCAGGCCGGGTGGTTTCCGTTGAAGAGTCCCTCGGGGGCGCGAGAGTAGCACAAGCGGCGACAGACGCTGCCCTGGGAAAGTTGCAAAAACAATGTGCGGCGCTGACCGCTCAATTAGCGGGCATGGAAGACAAAACTAGAGCCCGAAACCTGCGAATCCGGGGAGTGCCGGAATCGGCGGGAAACCTGGAATTACCACACTATTGTAGGAGGCTGGTGGCAACCTTACTGACTCCCAAACAAGCGAAGCAGATAGGGATCGACACCTGCTTTCGCCTCCCCAAGGCACTCAAAGCGCCCCAAGAAGCACCGAGGGGTGTGTTAATTAAATTTGTCCGGGACTCGGACCGGGGGGCTCTCATGGGAGCCGCGAGAGGCTCTCCCACCATCATGTTTGAGGGAGCAAGTTTGACCCTATACAGAGACTTCTCAAAGCACACTCTCACCTGGCGCAGGTCTCTCCGCCACATCACCTTGCTACTGGGCGAGAACTCTATCCCCTATAAATGGGGCCCTCATCGTTTAACCGTAGAGCAAGCCGGTAAGACGGCCCACTTGACACACATATCTGAAGCGCCTAAGTTTCTCCAGTTACTGGGACTCTCGCTTCCTACGGCAGCGACAAGGGCCAACCCTGCGTGGAATGTCGACGATATCACTCCCTTTGTGCCCAGAAGAACTGAGCCGAAGACGACGGATACTTTAACATGAGAAATGCGACCGCACATGCAAGTGCACCTGTGAAATGTCTGATAGGTCCCTTACTGCAGGACTATAAATTGGACATCTTTCATATGCTATACTTACCTAGTCTTTTCGCTCACCAGTTTCTTAAGTTCTCTAAGGTCTTAAAAGTTTATTTTTTGTTTGTTTTTAAGTTTATGAAGAATACAAGGCAACAGATATATTTAAATCTCTGGCTCCGTAAGCAGACTCCCACCGATCCTGGTTAAGCAGACTTCCCCCTCCCCTAACACAAAGCAAATGCAGAGGCCCGACACTCTGGGTACAAGCGCCCTACTGGGAGACTTGCGAGGTCCTGCACCATTCCTATCAACGGCCAACGGCCATCATAACCACACTCCCTCACCTATTAATACAAGTGCCCAGGCTGCGCCTACAGCCCCAACATTCCTAAGCAGAGCACATAAAGCTGTACACTAGCCCCTCAGGGTAGCCATACGCCTTAGTAGCCACTAACACGAGGGAGATACGCAGGGCTTTACCTATAAAAAATCGGGTTGCAAAGTTTCTATGCAGATACGAATGTTATATGAAGACTATCTTAAATGTATTTTTGTACATGTTATTTCACTTTCGTTTTGCATATAATGTACTACGTGTTTAACTCTCGTATACCCACAAAAATAAAGAATTAAAAAAAAAAAAAAAGAAGGCTTCTAAATAAACTGCAATCTTTAAGTTTGGATTCCAATATTGTTGAATGGGTAGTGGCTGAGTGACAGGCAACAGAGGGTTGTATTCAGTGGATTATATACGATGCTTGGGCTTGTCACCAGTGGGGTACCTCATCTCTTTAATATTTTTATTAGTGATATTGCAGAAGGTCTTTATGGTAAGGTATGTCTTTTTGCTTATGATACTAAGATATGTAACAGGGTTGATGTTCCAGGAGGGATAAGCCAAATGGCAAATGATTTAGGTAAACTAGAAAAATGGTCAGAGTTGTGGCAACTGACATTTAATGTGGATAAGTGCAAGATAATGCATCTTAGACATAAAAACCCAAAGGCAGAATACAGAATACTTGATAGAGTCCTAACCTCAACATCTGAGGAAAGGGATTTAGGGGTGATTATTTCTGATGACTTAAAGGTAGGCAGACAATGTAATAGAGCAGCAGGAAATGCTAGCAGAATTCTTGGTTGTATAGGTAGAGGTATTAGCAGTAGAAAGAGGGAAGTGCTCATGCCATTGTACAGAACACTGGTGAATCCTCACTTGGAGTATTGTACGCAGTACTGGAGACCGTATCTTCAGAAGGATATTGATACCTTAGAGAGAGTTCAGAAAAGGGCTACTAAACTGGTTCATGGATTGCAGAATAAAACTTACCAGGAAAGGTTAAAGGATCTTAATATGGGGGGGCGGGGCCTGACCGCTGAGCTGAGAGGACATTAGCCTCAAAGCTCCTGCAGCAAGCGACAAATAAAGCTGTTTATCACAGTCAAACCAGCGATCAATCGTGTCAGAAAAGCCTCCAAACATGGGGAGACACCGAGAAGATTAATATGATACCAATCAAGCTACCAGACAAGCAAAATCCACTCGGCAAAGGCCTAAGGCCTACCCACATGGCAGACGCGGGAGGGACGGCCGCCTTCCCGACGCCACACAAAGCTGACAAAGCATACAGGGGTCTCCGTCCCCCCCCCCCTTGGACCGGTGGGGGTTATCCTGGTCCACCTTCACGCAGGGAACACTCACCTCCGAGACGCTCCAGGGTGCAATTTGAACCGAGAGCCACGAGGCCGGGCCAAGATGGCCGACGGCACCGCAGCAGCCGCAGAACGACAGAGGACAAACGACTGGGCAGAGGCCTTCATGGCAAAATTTGATGCCGTCTGCAGGCGGTTCTGGAGGCGGCTGGAGAACAACAGCCAGACCGCAGTGCCGACAATGGCTAATGCGAAAGCCGGGACTACGGAACCCTCTCCCACCCAGCTGGGACACCTGGCTGCCCTCTCTCCTCCGCGGAAGCAGGGGTCACCCGAGATGGTGAAAATACAGAGTCCCGACTCACCCTGTGGTACGCCACGAGCACCCCCTACAAGGGATGTCACTGGCAGGCAAAACAGAGGAGAGCCCCGAGCTGCAAGGCAGAGATCATCACCCGTGCTGAAGCGCCGACCCCCTGCAGCAGCTCTGAGGGCACACCCGAGTCTACCACACCGAAATGCTGGGAATCAGCAGAGACCTTTGCGAACGGACGGCGCAAGAAACAGAAGGTACAACAAGGGGCGAAATACATCCACTATCCTTCGATCGTGTGGACTTAGCCCTGCAGGCCCTGAGGAGAGGGGTATGCAACCACCAGCCCCACTACCCCAACGCCCTGGCAAGCTACCCAAACAAGGGTTACAGCACCTAAGACTCTCACGTTACCGGGTCGCTGACCCCCCACTCACGGGCATCGGCTGAATGGACTTATGACAAAGTATATAAACTCCCACAGCAGCTACATACCCCTGGGAGATGCTTAGTTTATATACCGAATGCCTCCTTAACCACGTCTAACGTTAGCCAGAACTGTTTTTTGTCTGTCGCTCTGTTTGCATAGCCTTACGTTCTCCATTATAATCATAACAATTAAGCATGCCCTCCATAGATGTCCTCAGCTGCATGGCGATCTGCGGGGAGTATAACTAGCCTAGACACCAAGGATATAATACTCCCTAACTACCTACTGATCGCCATACCTGGCAGTGTCAATATATAGCCTGACATCTAAAAAGATCCAGCCGTTGTGCCATTAAGGGTCCGGCAAACTGAGCACACCTAATTATTAACCACTCCCAAACGAGTATTACCTTTCATGTAATCTATTATATATCAGTTAAGCAATTCCTATGTGTGTTACCCATTTTAGCAAGAAACGCCTACACTATGATATTGTTAATGTTGTGAGTTTTTTTTCTAACTGCTTCAACATAATTGATATCACTCTGGTGACACACATGGGTGCTGTGCCTTTTATCAAAAGACCTACACATTCCCAGTGCGTTAGAGCACCCAGCTAATTTAACTACAGCTACTAGCACTGTGTCGCAGCCTGATATGCCTAATATGTTACTCCTGCTATAATTTAAAAATGTGCAATGTTTCTGATGCTACACTATTGTTACTGCATGTTTCCTTTATGTTTGCACCAGCTGTCGTGGCAGTGCAAAACTGCTTGTTAACTCGATGCACAAATAAAATAAAGAATTTAAAAAAAAAAAAAAAGGATCTTAATATGTATAGCTTGGAGGAAAGACGAGACAGGGGGGATATGATAGAAACATTTAAATACATAAAGGGAATCAACAAAGTAAAGGAGGAGACTATATTTAAAAGAAGAAAAACTACCACAACAAGAGGACATAGTCTTAAATTAGAGGGACAAAGGTTTAAAAATATCAGGAAGTATTACTTTACTGAGAGGGCAGTGGATCCATGGAATAGCCTTCAAGCTGAAGTGGTAGAGGTTAACACAGTAAAGGAGTTTAAGCATAAGGCTATCCTAACTATAAAATAAGGCCAGTACTAATGAAAGTATTTAGAAAATTGGGCAGACTAGATGGGCCAAATGGTTCTTATCTGCCGTCACATTGTTTCTAAAAATGTGCAGTTCCCCTGTTCTGTTAAACTATAGATTCCATCCCAACACTCTTCCCGGGAGTCCTCCACTCACTCCAGTCCCAGATGTCGCTACTCACTTACAACACTTACAACAATTAACACAAGGCTTCCAACAAGCTCAACAAATGTTACAAGAAAGCCAACAAATAAAAAAATATGCTGTTCTCAAAAGAATAAGCCTCCGGTATACAAGGAAAATCAACTTGTCTGGCTATCTACAAAACATCTCAAGTTCTCTTGTCCAACCAAACAGCTAGGTCCCAAAGGACCTTTTCATATCTCCAAACTTATTTTGCCTGTTGTAGTACGATTGGAGCTACCACATCAGTACTATATTTATCCTTCTTTCCACATTTCACTAATTAAACCTGTCAAAGAGAACCCTTTTCCTACTCGAGACATACCACCACCTGATCCTGTCATGATAGATGGAGAGAAAGAATATGAAGTAGATGAAATCACGAATTCAAGGAGACTAAGAGGAACTTTGGAATACCTCATCTATTGGAGGGGCTATGATCCTGAAGAGAGATCCCGGGAACCTGCAAAATATGTACATGCCCCTCATCTCGTTAGAATATTTCACTCTTCATACCCGATTCGTCCAGCACCCTTATGCTTCCAGAGGCAGCATCATAGACTCCCCCACCGCGTCTCCACTTGCTGCTACAGTGGTCTCCACAGAGGACTCCGGCAAGCACAGCTTCAGGTTACTCCGACCAGCGGTCCTGCAACACATGGACGGTGTGCCATAGCTCTCCACACCATGCCATGACCTGCTGGAGCTTCCAGCTGAAGCCACGTGGGATTCTCTACTGGGCGTCTGCCCGTCAGCCTCTTAAAGGTGCAGTACAGCTGAAGTGATTTAAAGGACTAATCACCTTCTAAACAATAGAATATGAGAGGTGGATACCTCTCCCCTATATAAATCAGTCTACCTCTACCTAATTGCTCAGTTCTACTGTGCTTACTGTGGTGTCAACCTCAGTGTACCTATCCTCCCTTATCGGATATATCTGGTATCTGACCCCTGCCTGTTTATAGTCTCTGAACCCGTGCTGCCTGAACTGACCCCTGGCATTCCTCAACTACAAATTTTTTTTCTTTGGTACTTCGCCTTGGCTGATTCCTGCCTCCTGGACTCCTACCGTCAAATACATGAAAGACTTAACACTCCCTCTGACTTAGTATTTTTTATTTTTTGAAATTGTTTGTTTCCTTTCCTTTTTTTTTTTATTTTAAGATTTTTTTCATTATGTACAAAGATAAAATTACAAATACAAGTTGGCTGTACATATTGATATCTATGCTGTGGAATACACAATGATCTGTATAACTTTTATGTGACTGCTTGTACCAACATAAAGAATTAAAAAAACACAGGAAAGTGCACGTGAAAAGGATGCATTGTCGTGGTATACAGTGGTGACACAACCTGCCGATGATAAAAAAGGAAAAAGAACAAAAATTAACCTCTAAAAGAGAAAAAAATCCCAAACAGGATAGGAGTCTCTCCACGCCTCTCCCCACACCAAACGTCTAACAGATCTATCCGAGAATCACTGTCTAACTTGATCTGTCATTAATGGATATGAGAAAAGAAAATGAAGTTACGGTTAAAATCCCTAATGCAAGTCTACATAATATTCTTGAAGAAATCAAGAAACAAACATTCTAAAACTCACTTGAAATCAAGCCAGAAATTAAAAATGACATAACAAAACTGACCAACAAGGTTCAAATTATGGAAGATCTCGTCGGAAATATGGAATTCAAATAAAATCTCTAAAAGATGAATCTATAAGAATGACAACAAAAATATGATTATTTTAAATCCCCAGGTCACACTTTAAATGGCTATGAAAATTGACAGATGCCACAGGTTAAATAAACTGCTTAACATTGCACCCAAAATACCCAGAGATGATTTAGTCTGCTTCCATTCCTATGAATTCAAGTTTCAAAGTTTTGAAAACCAACAGAGAAGAAAACTATAAAAATGGTCCATACTCTAACATTGTAGCCCTTACTGACTTATCATACAACAAAAGGTCTATTGCTATTGCCATCCTCAAAAACACAAGTTATGTGATGATCAGCCCAAGAAAAATAAATCATAATTTCAAAACTAAAAAGAGGAACAAGAAAGGAAAGAAAATGACCTGTTATATTAATGCTTAAAATATTGTAAATTAATGCACAAGGCTTGAACCCATAGAGGAAAAGACAAATGATATTCCTTTATCAGAGAAAAAAATCCAGATTTGTTTTCATCCGAGAAAAACATCGGAACCTCAGAAATGGGAGGGGGAAAAGTACAAACTTATTTATCAGGCATCCCTAGAAAATAATTTTTTTTAAAAGTGGGGTTGTGATTGTTTTTGATAATTTAAAATTATAGGTATTGTTTCAGGATTGTGACCCGTCAGGTAGATTTTTAGTGCTGGTTTGTAAGACAGAAGAAAAAATTTACACTCTTGTAAATGTCTACTTGCCTAACATAAATCCAATATCAACATTTTCAAAAATTATGAACAGAATAGAGAAAAATATCAAAAGGCGTATTAAGAATTGCTGGTGATTTTTAATTGTTTTAGATTTTTTTAAATAAAATGTAATTCTCTGCTCAAATCAGATAAAGCAATTTTAAAACAATCTAAGAAATTAAATAGTTTATGCAATACATATGGATTGTATGACGCCTGGAGGACTATGTATCAGCAAGGCCGAGACTATACACATATGTATAAAGTACATGATTCAATATATGTTTTGTTAAATCCAGCACAATTGAAAACCTTTATAAAATACAACTTAAAGAAAACACATGGTCTGACCATAGTTTTGTAATATTAGAACTAGGTAGACCACCTATGCCCCAGGGAGTAAGTACTTGGAGGATAGATGACTCCATATTGAAATTTAAAAAAATCTAGAAAACTTGATGGAATTATCTAGTTTCTTCTGGTCTGAAAATGCCTCTCCAGATATAATGGATTCTACATTATGGGCCACCTGTACAGCAGTAATAAGGTTACTTTATCAAAATAGAAACAGGTGAACAAATTAAGGGGTAAAGATCTTGCTGATTTATATATATCATTTTTTAAACTTTTAAATTTAAATAAAATCCAACCTTCTAGACAGAATGATAGTTATCTGAACTTCAGAATAAAATTAATTTAAAAATAGAAGGATTAAAAAAAACTTTAAATAAACGAAGATCAAATACGTATTATCAAGGTAATAGAGCAAGTAAAAGCTTAACAAAAAAACTTAAGAAGCCAACAGCGAGAAATAGGATAAACAAACTTATAGATGACCAAAATATATATATTCTTCCCCTGAAAAAATTGGTCAAAAATTCAATGAATATTAGAATAATTTATACAATCTCGGACCGAATCCTAAAAGAGATAAAATAATGGGTTATTTGGTAGATACTAATATCTTTAAAATATCTAATTTCTATTTAAATGTTCTAAATACCAAGTTTAAAGTCGAAGAAGTAGAAAGAAATAGATTAGAAGCATTTCAAACCCCTTGTCTAGATGGGTTTACTAATTATTATTATAAAACTATAAAAAAAAAAAATAGTTTACCCATTAACTACTTTGTTCAATGAAACTACTCTTTAAAACACTAATATGCAAAAGAGAGAATGCAAAATAGATCGTTATAGATGACCAAACTATATATACTTCCCCCGAAAAAATTGGTCAAAAACTTAATGAATATTATAATTTTTACAATCTCGGACTGAATCCTAAAAGAGATTAAATAATGGGTTATTTGGTGGAAACTAATATCCTTAAAATATCTAATTCAGATCTAAATGTTCCAAATACCAAGGTTAAAGTCAAAGAAGTAGAAAGAGAAATAGATAAATTAGAAGCTTTTAAAACTCCTGGCCCAGATGGGTTTAGTATTTATTATTCTAGTTTCATTGTGTATTCATATAATAAGCAAGAACTATATGACAAGTGGTTAAAAAAAAAATACATTTTTCCTGTTCACAAATTGTGCATGTCTTTGGAATAATTTTCTTTACCAGGAATAATGAATATTCTCCGCTTCATAAGCCTTTCATGAACCATTAATTGATAAAGAATAGGGAAAGGAAAGTGAATTACGCTCTAATAACAATCTAGATAAGCTTGATACTCTTGGTGTGATCATATTCTTGTTTTTGTACTTTGTTTTGTGAATTTGTGATGATTTTAAAGAACACTGTATAGTTGTGGAATGGAATTATGTGTTATGACATTTGTTTTATAACATTCAACTTTATAGTGTTGCCTACGTATATGTATATATGTAAATTTTTTTGAAAAGAAATTAAAAGCTTAAAGAATAATAAAAAAAGTTGTTCATTTTGGTGACCATATACTAATTGCATTCATCTCAATTTATTCTTTCCTTGAGGGATTTTAATCTAGGCTAATCTCCTGGCGCACTAAACTGTACACGTCAAGGTCCAATGCATTGAGGATTCATAGAATCTCGTTTGCATATCAGTGTTTTAAAGAGTATTTTTTTGGGCATTGGTGATCTGTCAGCTTGGTTATTCTTCTGTGAATTCTAACATCTGAACCCATCTGTGGATGATATTTCCTTCTGAGATTTCCCACTTACATGGACATCTGCCTTTTTGCAGCCTTATGGCTGTTTTGAAGAAGTCTTTCAGCCCTATTGTATACCTTTTTGGATGTGTAGGCTGCCTTGTGGTTTCCCACATTACATGCAAAACCAGTCAAGGCTTTAATGTCTGAAATGACAATTATTGATCTGGCGTGCTGACCATATTCACAATAGATGGGTATGTCTGTTGGCAAATCTTAAGTCATTAAAATAGTGTTAGCCTCTACTAACACACCTTATCCTATCCATGCAACAGTCTTACAATAAAAACTGTCACATCCAGTTTAATTAAAATGGTGTTTACACCTACAAAAAACAAACTACCAGATCACATGTATCTCTGCTTGTGATATTTGGTCAAACCACAGCAAGTTCTTGATTATTTATGCATGGTTTATACGTTGGGTTACAATTGACAGGTGTTTCTAATAAAGTGTATATATGAACATGCAAGATTGTAGGTATATCAACAAAACGTATATCACCCCATTTCTAGTGGTCAGATTCTGAGATCACAGGTTCTAACTGTGAATTAACTGAACCATGTATACTTTGTAACCAGTAACAAGTCAAAAGACGGCAATCTCGTTAACGTCTAATGAAAGACGTTAACAATCTGTTTACACATATATATCAGACATTGCAGGTGCTTAAATTGGATTTACAGCTGAGGGCTGGCTGGGCAATTGGCAGGATATTAATCGTGATGATTAGGT